GGGAGGCCGAGGCGGGCAGACGACAATGTCAAGAGATCGAGACCATCCTGGCCAACATGGTGAAACCCCATCTCTACCAAAAATACAAAAATTAGCCAGGCGTGGTGGCACGCACCTGTAATCCCAGCTACTCGGGAGGCTGAGGCAGGAGAATGACTTGAACCTGGGAAGCGGAGGTTGCAATCAGTCGAGATCACACCACTATACTCCAGCCTGGGCGACAGAGCAAGACTCTATCTCAAAAAAAAAAAAAAAAGAAAAGAAAAGAAAAAAAGAAATGAGTTCACTGGTTTCCAGTTCATATTAGACAAAGCAATTTTCTTAAGTTCCTGCACTGGAACCGTAACTGTGGAAACCTTGCAGTCACATCCCAAGGAAAATCAAAGATGTAAAGTTACTAACTGTTGGAACAAGCTGGCTCCAGCTGTAACCAAGCAAAGAAAGTAATGAGCCCTGAATCAACTTACTGTCAAATCCTCTCCTGAGTTCGCAGGGCATGGTGGCATGCACCTGTAGTCCCACCTACTCGGGAGGCTGAGGCAGGAGAACTGCTTGAACCCAGAAGGTGGAGGTTGCAGTGAGCCGAGATTGTGCCACTGCCCTCCCGCCTGAGTGAGAGAGTGAGACTCCATCTCCAAAAATAAAAAAAAAACCTCCCCTGAGAAGGCAGAGCTGGTGGAGTTCAGCCATGGGCAGGCCAGGCTGGGGCCCAGGGGTTGAAAGCCGGGATCACCAGGCCAAGAAGTCAAACGGTCCAGACCACACAGTGAGGGCGCTTCCTAGGGGAGGGGTGGAGGGGCCTAGAGTGCAGGTGTGGGACCACGGCTGGGGAGGAGCAGGAATGCAGGTGGCAATGCAGGGTTCCAGGACTCAGCGGAAAGCAGACCAGACAATTGTCAAGAAAATAATTGTTCCTGAAGACAAATCCTAGACCTAGGGTGCACACTCTAAGCCCAGGCCCTGATTCTACCCTTTCCAGCTCTCCAGAGAGTAGAGACCCCAACAACCTGGCCAGTTCTGAGCCTGGCACCCAAGAACACTGAGCTGTCTGGCCAATCTTCCTCCCCCAGGGCATATCGCTGTCTTCTGCTATGATTTTTAAGCTTGCAAAGCTTGCTAACAATATACATAGAGCTATTTCACTCATGGGTCTTGTTCTAGAGACCATAGTGTAACTTGGAGACAAGATTCCCAGTCAATGTTTTTTGATAATTAGAAAACAGAGAAAGTCAGGCTCAGTGGCAGATGTCTGTAGTCCCAGCTGCTCAGGAGGCTGAAGTGGGAGGTCAGGAGTTTGAGGCTGCAGTGAGCTATGATCGCACCTGTAACTAGCCACTACACTCAAGCCTGGGCAACAGAGCATGTTCCCATCTCTAAAAAAAAAAAGAAAGAAAAGGGAAAGGAAGAGGAGAAGAAGAAGAGGGGGGAGGAGAGAGAATGGAAAGAGCAAAACAAAGCAAGGAGAAGAAACAAAAGGGGAAGAAGGAAGGAAGTCAGTGACATCAGTTTGAGGGCAAAGTACGCGCGCGCGCACACACACACACACACACACACACACACACACACACACACGCGCGCGCGCATGCGCCACTGTGATTGCCCTAAAGAAATTAACTATTTTTCGGCAGAGCTTGGTGGTTCACGCCTGTAATCCCAGCACTTTGGGAGGCTGAGGCAAGTGGATCACCTGAGGTCTGGAGTTCAGGACCAGCCTGGCCAATATGGTGAAACCCCATCTCTACTAAAAATACAAAAGAATAAGCCGGGCGTGGTGGTGGGCTCCTGTAATCCCAGCTACTTGGGAGGCTGAGGCAGGAGAATTGCTTCAACCCTGGGGGCAGAGGTTGCGGTGAACGGAGATGGTGCCATTGCACTCCAGCCTGCACAACAAGAGCGAAACTCCGTCTCAAAAAAAAAAAAGAAAGAAAGAAAGAAAAAGAAAGAAATTAGCTATTTTTCAACTCTATTATTTAAACCCTCCTTAGGCATCCTTTGGCGTGACAGTAGACAGTGAGTGGGATAACTCTGCATATTTTGGCTTAAAATTATTTTTATCTACTAAAAGGAAAAGTAAATTATACTCTGAAATATAATCTAATGACAGAGAGTCTCAGAGCAAATACCTGTCAGTCAGAGATATTGAAAATGATCAGGTTGTGAGCCAGGCGTGGTGGCTCACGCCTGTAATCCCAGCACTTGAGGCCGAGATGGGCAAATCACGAGGTCAGGAGATCGAGATCATCCTGGCTAACACGGTGAAACCCCGTCTCTACTAAAAATACAAAAAAATTAGCCGGGCGTGGTGGCAGGCGCCTGTAGTCCCAGCTACTGGGGAGGTTGAGGCAGGGGAATGGCGTGAACCCAGGAGGTGGAGCTTGCAGTGAGCCGAGATCACACCACTGCACTCCAGCCTGGGCGACAGAGCGAGACTCCATCTCAAAAAAAAAAAAGAAAGAAAGAAAGTGACCAGGTTGTGAACTCACTTGAATCAAGGCCATTACCTCATGAAATTATAAAATGATCAGCAATATCCCCAGCAGATGGCGCAAGTGTTCCCTCTGCTGCGATGGGAAAGCCCAACAGTGACCAAGTCGGTATCAAAATCTGTTTCCTCTTCATGTGACAATTGAACATAGATCCTAACCAGGTAAGGCGTTTAGTTAGGAAAGAAATCATTCGTGGGATTCCAAGAGAGGCTGACTAGGAAAGATAAAATCTGGAGGCTTTTTAATTTACTTCTCATATTAAACGGTTTAGAAGCATATATTACCTCACTGGTAATATGGTTCCATTCGCAACATTTTTAGCTCTGAAAAAGAAAATTATTTCATGACAGAGTTTTAGATTAAGTCCCAAAGGATGACAAAGTACCAACAATTAGAATATCAGAGCTGTCTCCTAACAAATTACAGGTAAATGGTTTCTGAAGGACACCGCAGGGAAGGGGGTAATGATTATTGGAGGCAGCCAATGTTTCTGCTGCTTTGCTAACTGCTTGCAAACAAATACGATGTTCTTGCTCACATTTTTTTTTTTTTTTTTTTGAGACGGAGTCTCGCTCTGTCGCCCAGGCTGGAGGGCAGTGGTGCCAACTCGGCTCACTGCAAGCTCCACCTCTCGGGCTCATGCCATTCTCCTGCCTCAGCCTCCTCAGTAGCTGGGGCAGGCGCCGCCACCACACCCGGCTAATTTTTTGCATTTTCAGTAGAGATGGAGTTTCACCGTGTTAGCCAGGATGGTCTTGATCTCCTGACCTTGTGATCTGCCCGCCTCGGCCTTCCAAAGTGCTGGGATTATAGGCGGGAGCCACCGTGCCAGCTCTTGCTCACATTTTGAAGCCCTCGGGTTCGCATTTTTTTACGAACAAGCAAACATTTGCATTTCTAGGCCAGAGGCAGCCCACACTGGGAAGGCAGAGGATGGAATGTGTTATCCACAGAACATTCTTCAAAAGTGCAAAAGAACTTTATTAATTAAAGCATGTTAAATAACTGCCTTTGTAAGTTTCCAAAGAAACAAGAATTGAGAATGTTCAGGTCAATGAATAATTTTGTCCAACGGCTGTCCTGCCAACACCTACTGCTTTCCATCCCAAACCCCCATTCATGTTTTAACCCTCTGTAGTCTGCTTCTTATATCCAACTGCTACTAAAACTTTATTTATTGATTTTTTTTGAGACGGAGTCTCACTGTGTTGCCCAGACTGCAGTGCAATGGCGCGATCTGGGCTCACTGCAACCTCTGCCTCCCAAGTTCAAGTGATTCTCCTGCCTCAGCCTCCCGAGTAGCTGGGATTACAGGTGTGTGCCACCAGGCCCAGCTAATTTTTGTATTTTTAGTAGAGATGGGGTTTCACCATGTTGGTCAGGCTGGTCTCAAACTCCTGACCTCGTGATCTGCCCATCTCGGCCTCCCAAAGTGCTGGGATTACAAGCTTAAGCCACCACCCCCAGCAAAACTTTACTTTTTTTTTGAGACTGAGTCTCCCTCTGTCACCCAGGCTGGAGTGCAATAACATGATATTGGTTCACTGCAGCCTCCGCCTCCCAGGTTCAAATGATTCCCATGCCTCAGCCTCCTGAGTAGCTGGAATTACAGGCATGTGCCACTATGCCTGGCTAATTTTTGTACTTTTAGTAGAGATAGGGTTTCACCATGTTGGCCAGTCTGGTCTCCAACTCCTGGCCTCAAGTGATCCACCTGCCTCGGCCTCCCAGAGTGCTGGGATTACAAGCATAAGCCACTGCACCTGGCAAAACTTTACTTTTAAAATATATTTTAAAATATAAATATATGTTCATTGCAAGGAATTTGAAAACACTGAAAGTTGTGAAGAGAAAAATTTGTAACCACCTGAGGTGTTCTTCGCTGCATAAGGAAAGACTACAGGCTGGGCATGGTGGCTCACGCCTGTAATCCCAGCACTTTGGGAGGCTGACGCCAAGGCGGGGGGATCATGAGGTCAGGAGTTCGAGACCGGCCTGGCCAACATGGTGAAACCCCGTCTCTGCTAAAAATACAAAAGTTAGCTGGGCGTGGTGGCAGGTGCCTGTAATTCCAGCTACTGGGGAGGCTGAGGCATGGGAATTGCTTGAACTCAAGAGGTGGAGGTTGCAATGAGCCCAGTTTGTGCCACTGCACTCCAGCCTGGGTGACAGACCAAAATTCTGTCTCAGAAAAACACACAAAAAAAACAGCATTGTAGTGGAGAGTTTAATAGACACAGGGCTGGCCATAACACGTGGGAGATGGAATTAGTACTCAAATCATCTCATTCAAAGCTCGTAGATTAGGGGTTTTTCTTTTTCTTTTTCGAGATAAAGTCTTACTCTGTCACCCACAGGGCTCACTGTAACCTCCGCCTTCCAGGTTCAAGTGATTCTCCTGCCTCAGCCTCCAGAGTAGCTGAGATTAGAGGCACGTGCCACCATACCCAGCTAATTTTTATATTTTTAGTAGAGACAGGGTTTCACCATGTTGGTCAGGCTGGTCTTGAACTCCTGATCTGGTGATCTGCCCGCCTCAGCCTCCCAAAGTGCTGGGATTACAGGCGTGAGCCACCACACCCCACCAGATTAGGGGTTTTTCAAAGGCGGTTTAGGGGAAGCAGTGTGGGGGAGAGGAGTGCTAGGTAGCAGGTGCTTGCTGCTGATTGGCTGGGGCAGAGATGAAATCATAGCGGGTTGAAGCAGTCCTCCTGTGGGCTGGTTGATTCTAGGTGTGGCCACAGGAGTGAGGGTTGTCCTCCAGGTGGAGCCATGGGTGTCAGACATGCAAAACACCTGAAAAGAGATCTCGAAAGGTCAGTCTTCGAGAGTGGTGTTATTTGGAGGAGTAACTGAGGATGTATCATGTTTTTATAACCTCTAAATAACTTAGTAGGACCCAGCCTCCTGTCGTCTCTCAGCGTGATGGCCTCCAATTAGCTTTACAAAAGCAGCTGAGTTTTGGGCAAGGCCTATTCTCATTTAAACTGTAGCTGAAAGGTCTTCCAAAGTTAGCTTAGCCCAATAATCTGGGAATAATTAAGGGAAAGGCAAGATGGAGGTTAGGTTGGCTTAGCTTACCGTTATAATTATTTCTCATGGATATAACTTTTGCAAAGGCGGTTTCAAGATTACCCATGAATGAGTAGATATGGGCAACACATACTTCATTATTATTATTATTATTTTTTTTTTTTGGAGACAGGGTCTCACTCTGTTGCCCAGGCTGGAGTGTAGTAGCATGACCATGGCTCACTGCATCCTTGACCTACCAGGCTCAAGCAATCCTCCCCACTCAGCCTTCCCAGTAGCTGGGACTACAGGCACATGCCATTACACCCAGCTAAATATACATTTTTTTAAATTTTTTGTTGGGACAGGGTCTCACCATCTTGCCTAGACTGGTCTTGAACTCCTGGGCTCAAGCAATTCTCCTGCCTTGGCCTTCCAAAGTGCTGGGATTACAGTCATGTAACCCCACTGTCAGAGGTGTGTGGACCAAAGCAACTCCATCTTGAATAGTTGCTGGGTGAAATGAGGCTGAGACTACTGGGCTGCATTCTCAGACAGTTAAGGCATTGTAAGTCACAGGATGAGATAGGGGGTCAGCATAAGATACAGGTCATAAAGACCTTGCTGATAAAACAGGTTGCAGTAAAGAAGCTGGCCAGAACCCACCAAAAACAAGATGGCAACAAGAGTGACCTCTGATCGTCCTCACTGCTACCCTCCCACCAGCGCCATGACAGTTAACACATGCCATGGAGACATCAGGAAGTTACCCTATATGGTCTAAAAAGGGAAGGCATGAATAATCCACCCCTTGTTTAGCATTTCATTCAAGGAACAACCATAAAACATGGGCAACTATTTGGGAGAGCGGAGTCTCGGCTCTGTCTCCCAGGCTGGAGGTGAGGGTGCTGCGATCTGAGCTCATGCAATAGCTCGTGCTCCCGGGGTTCGATGGCTATTTCCTGCGGCTCGAGCCTCGCTGAGGTAGCTGGGACTACAGGCGCCCGCCACCAATGCTGGCTAAATTTTTTGTTTTTTAAGAGACGGGTTTCGACCGTGTTAGCCAGGATAGTTCAGTATCTCCTGTGACTCGTGATCTTGTCCGGAGTCTCAGCCCTTCGCCAAGAGGCTGGATTACAGGGCATGGAGTCGCTGCGCCCAGCAATTCCGTTTACTTTCCTTTTTTTTTTTTTTTTTTTTGAGACGGAGTCTGGCTTCTGTTGGCCCAGCCTGGAGTTGCAGTGCGGATTCAGCTCACTGCAAGCTCCGCTCCGGTTCACGCCAGTTCTCGGCCTCAGTCCTGCCGAGTAAGCTGGACGTACAGGCGGCCCGCCACCTCACCGGGCTAGTTTTTTTGTAATTTCTTAGTAGAGACGGGGTTTCACCGATGTTAGCCAGGATGGCTTCGATCTCCTGGTCCTGTGATCCTGGCCGTCGTCGGCCTCCTAAAGGGGGGCTGGGCATTGGAGGCTTGATGCCACCGCGCTGCGCTCCTTTTACTTTCTTATCAGCTTGCTTTTGCTTTGCACTGTGACATCGCCCTGAATTCTTTCTTTGCAAGAACCAATGAACCCCGTTGTCTTTGGGGTCTGGTCGATGGATCCCGCTTTCCTGTACCCCACGCAACTTTAGCCTGGGCAATCACCCCATGCTTTGCAAGAGCCTTTGTTGCCAGAATATACAAGGAACTCATACACAATCAATTTTGTCTTAAAGACTAAACAGAAAATAGGCGGTGAGAGTTTGAAAATAGACATCTACAAGACGATATTACGCCCGGTTGCATGGGACAATCTCATTTCATTAGTAAGCCAAATTTTTTTCTTTTTTTTGAGACGGAGTTTTTGCTGTTGTTGTCCTAGGCTTTTCGAGTTGGGCAATTGCGGCCGGTTGGGGACTCACTGCACCGTTCCACCTCCTGGTCAAGCGGAGGTTGCTTCTGCCTCAGCCTTCCTAAATAAGCTTAGGATTACAGGTACCACCCCACGCCTGTAAATTGTTTTTGTATTTTCCAGTAGAGACGGGTTTTCCACCATTGTTGGGCAGACGGTCTCAAACTCTACTTCAGGGTGATCACCTGCCTCTAAGTTCCAATAGTGCTGGTTACATGCATGAGTCCACTGCACCCGGCCGATTTAGTAACCATTATAACTACAACAAGTTGGGCATTGGTGCTATGCTTGTACTCCTAACTTTGGAGGCCAAGGCAGGCAGATCATTGAGGGCAGGAGTTCTGGACCCAGCTGGCCAACATGGTAAAACCCTGTCTCTACTAAAAATACAAAAATTAGCCAGGCGTGGTGGTACATGGCTGTAATCCCAGCTACTCGGGAGGCTGAGGCATGAGAATCGCTTGAACCCGGGAGGTGGAGGTTGCAATGAGCCCCGGGCTCAGCTATATTGAGAACTTTCCTACACTGGTGTAGGGGACCACCTCCATGTCCCTTCCCCGCTAAAAGTTGTTTAATCACTCAATAAAACTTCCCACCTTACTCTTTGAGTGTCCACGTGCCTACTTCTTTCTGGTCATGAGACAAGAACCCAGACCTATCTGGGCTAAGGGGGAAAAATTCTGCATCACCTGTAACAATTCAGTTGAGTCTCACCAACATCATGATGATGATGTTAGCCAAACACAAAAGAATTAATACTAAGTGATTCTCTTATCGGGGTCCAATAAAGAGAGAGAAGCTACAACAATTATTCCAAAAGAGTGTGTAATATAAATAATTACTGGGCCAGGCGCGGTGGCTCACGCTTGTGATCCCAGCACTTTGGGAGGCCGAGGCGGGTGGATCACGAGGTCAGAAGATCAAGACCATCCTGGCCAACACTTTGAAACCCTGTCTCTACTAAAAATACAAAACATTAGCCGGGCTTGGTGGCGGGTGCCTGTAGTCCCAGCTACTCAGGAGGCTGAGGCAGGAGAATGATGTGAACCTGGGAGGCGGAGCTTGCAGTGAGCCGAGATTGTAAAAAAAAAAAAAAAAGAATTATTGACGGGCACAGTGGAGGACTGCTTGAGCCCAGGAGTTTGAGACCAGCCTGGGCAACATAGAGAGACCCTGTCTTTACCAAGTGTATGTGTGTGTGTGTGTGTGTGTGTGTGTGTGTGTGTGTGTGCGCGCGCGCGCGCACGCACATAGCATTCAGCTATCAACCAGGAGGCTTCATTTAGTGTAACCCAGCAAGTACTCAAGATTTTTTTTTTTTAGTCACAGTCTCACTCTGTCACCAAGACTGGAATGCAGTGGTGCAATCATGGCTCAATGGAACCTCGACCTCCTGGGCTCAAGCAATCCTCCCACTTCAGCCTTCTGAGTAGCTGGGACCACAGGCATGTGCCACCACGCCCAGCTAAATTTTGGGTTTGTTGTAGAGAAGGGGTTTTGCCATGTTGCCCAGGCTGGTCTTGAATTCCTGGACTCAAGCCATCCGCCCACCTCTGCCTCCCAAAGTGTTAGAGGCGGAGGTTGCAGTGAACTAATATCGCACCACTGCACTCCAGCCTGGGCTACAGAGCAAGACTCAGTCTCAAAAAAAAAAAAAAAAAAAAAAGAAAGTGTTAGGATTACAGGCGTGAGCCACCTCACCCATACAGAAATGTGATCCACACTGTAAGATGCGCGTCTTCTTGGAATACTTACCCGATTCTTTGTTCTCTCACGGATCTCTGATCTCTCCACCTTCCCGAGTCTTGGAAAACTTGTCTTCTGATTTCAGAGTTAACCCTTCATTATGTAGAATCTTCCATTGTCATGTGTTACATTACACATGCTAGTGTTATCTTCCCAACTAGAAGATAAACCATAGAATCAGAAAAACAATTTTATCATGTTATTTCCAAAATGACATAGCCCAGGACTGAACTGTCCATAAACACCTATCGGATGGTCAGCTTCAAAACTAACTGCAATGCTGATGAGTTAAAATAGCTCCTTTTTTTGGCACCAGATAATAGATAAATATGAGAAGCCAGTGCGGTGGCTTATGCCTGTAACCCCAGCACTTTGGGAGGTCTAGGAGGGAGGATGGCTTGAGCCCAGGAGCCCATAGTGAGCTATGATTGAGCCACTGCACCCTAGTGAGAGCTACAGAGCGAGACCTCATCTCTATACAAAATAAAATTATAAATTTTTTTTACATAAAAAAAACTTGAGAGAGAGCATACTTTTGGGTTTCTTTATTAATAGAACACCAAAAGGTGATCCAAGTAAAAGTGTAACACCCCTTAAGGGAAAAAACATTATTTTCATTTAAAATCGTTTTCTTTATTATCTTTAAAGTGAAAGTGCCATATCTGGGCTTCCTACGAAGGAAACAAACCGCGTAGACTCACGCCAGCCGCTGGGCCTGGGCCTGTGTTTCCCGCAGGCTGCGACCTTTGCCCCACTTCAGGCCGGCCGTATATACCAGCTTAGAGGCGCCGCGGCGTTGGCGAGTCCTTTTTCACCCAGCCCTTCCCTCAGTTCTCAGGCTGGAACTTGAACAGGCACTCATGACTCAGCAAACGGTACTTGATAGGGTTCTTTACACGTCAGTCAGGCTATTTTTAAAATCACTCTTCCTGGAGATCTTCACACCAAAAGCACCGCGGGCCCTCCCCAACCGGCTTCTGCCTGCCTCCACTATGTGATGCAGTATGGCCCTCGGGAGGCCGCCCCCAGATTCTAGAGGGGCTGACCGACCCCAGACACACCCGAAGGACCACCTCGAGACCTCGGAGGAACAGCCCTAGACCCAGGAGGGACTGCAAGACACCCCAGGGGCAGCCCGCCAGGGCCCAGCTCTACTCATCGCCTGGCGGTGCTGCCTCCCTTCCACGCCGCCCCAGGGAAAGGCCGCCCCTCTCCGACTCCTCCCAATCCCGGTTCCGAGGACTGACGGCGGCCCGGCGCCCTGCTTTGGGCCAGGATCGGCCTGGAGTCTTCCTCACTAGCGGCCAAGAGCCGGAAACCTTGCGTCTCAGATTCTCCGGGTCAATGCACCCCCATCTCAACCGGTCTTCCCACCCGGGGCCCCCTGATGCCAACTGCCGGCCTGGACCTAGCCCGGGGCCCTGCTCCTTGCCCGCTCTCCCTGGACAGCCCAGGCCGGCGCCCGAGGGATAGGCTCGGGGAGGCTGCAGGCGGAGCTGGAGCCAGGACCCCCCCTGTCCATCGCCGTCCTGAGCTCACACAGAGAGCCTTCCAGCCTCACCCAGGCCGCCAGCCCAAGCCAAGATCTTACAGATGTCAGAAAGCCTGTTTGGTTTAAAACCCATTGGTTAAGAAACTAATGACAATTTTTTTTTCTTAATAGGAAATCTGGGTAACTAGAAAATAGAGGGAAGGGAGACATATTCATAACACCCTGTCACCTTTGCATTTCATGCACTTGCAGAGTTGCATTCATATTATTAAAATATCTTGTTGGCAGGGCGCAGTGGCTCACGTCTGTAGTCCCAGCATTTTGGGAGGCCGAAGCGGGCGGATCACTTGAGGTCAGGAGTTCGAGACCAGCCTGAGCAATGTGGCGAAACCCTGTCTCTACTAAAAACACAAAAATTAGCCCAGGTGTAGTGGCGGACACCTGTAGTCCCAGCTACTCGGGAGGCTGAGGCAGGAGAATCGCTTGAATCCGGGAGGTGGAGGTTGCAGTGAGCCAAGATCATGCCACAGCATTTCAGCCTGGGAGAGCCAGACCCTGTCTCCAAAATAATAATAATAAATAAAAATAAATAAAATAATATCTTTTTTTTTTTTTTTGAGACGGAGTCTCACTGTCGCCCAGGCGGGAGTGCAGTGGCCGGATCTCGGCTCACTGCAAGCTCGGCCTCCCGGGTTCACGCCATTCTGCTGCCTCAGCCTCCCGAGTAGCTGGGACTACAGGCGCCCGCCACCTCTCCCGGCTGGTTTTTTTCTATTTTTTAGTAGAGACGGGGTTTCACCGTGTTAGCCAGGATGGTCTCCATCTCCTGAGCTCGTGATCCGCCCGTCTTGGCCCCCCAAAGTGCTGGGACTACAGGCTTGAGCCACCGTGCCCGGCCAAAATAATATCTTTTTAACCTGGTGCTGGTTGCATAGGTATGGTCAGTTTGTGACAGTCCAGTGAGTTGTATGTTCAGGAGACATATATTCTTCTGAATGTGCATGTACTTCAGTTAAACGTTTCCAAAAATAAACCTTTGGGTGAGGAGCAGAGCACACTTCATCCTGAAGGCATAGGTGTGCTGTTGGGCCACCAGTAGACAGAGGTCATCCCACCTGTCATCCCACCGGGGGCCTCCTGTGCTTGGACGGAGATAAACCGCATCCCTGCCCTCGTTTCTGTTGTCTTCCTTCCCCCAATCGTGGAGTCTTCCCAGGAGCACAAACTCAGTGCATTCCTACTATCTAATCCCCCTATGAAGCTGGCAAAGGCTGGAATGTTATTTAGATTTTGACAGAAAATCATTCATAGCAATTCAGTTACTCAACACCTACTGAGCCCCAGACTCCTGCCTTCTAGTACAAACACTTTGTTCTCTGTTAAAAACATTCCATGCTATATAGCACTGGCCATGCTGCGTCCCCTCTCTCTTCCTGCCACTCCCAGCACTAGACTCTACCCAAAACTCAAAGACAAGCTAAATGTGGTTTGGTATGTAGAGTCTTATTACTTGCTGTGATTGCACTGCTTAATATGAAGCATCATATTGACTTGGGATGTTATGAGAGGTACTAAAGGAAATTTACTTTGTCAGTTTTCCGGCTCTGAAGGGGTGGCCTACCCCTCCACACCTGTGGGCGTTTCTCGTTAGGTGGAACAAGAGAGGTGAGAAAAGAAATGAGACACAGAGACAAAGTATAGAGAAAGAAAAAGTGGGCCCAGGGGACCGGCGCTCAGCTTACGGAGGACCCACGCCAGCACCGGTCTCTGAGTTCCGTTGGTATTTATTGATAATTATCTTTACCATCTTAAAGAAAAGGAAGTGGCAGGATAATGGGATCATCGTAGGGAGAAGGTCAGCAGTAAGACATATGAATAAAGATCTCTGTGACATGAATAAGTTTAAGGAAATGTGCTGTGTCTTGATGTGCATATGTAAACATCTCCATAAACCTTTTTAGTGCATGAAGAGCAGCATTGCGCTAGCAAGTCCCACCTTTCGCCCTAAGGCGGTTTTGTCCTTTCTCAGTAAACAGAACATACAATCGGGTTTTATACCGAGATGTTCCATTGCCCAGGGACGGGCAGGAGACAGATGCTTTTCTCTAGCTCAACTGCCAACAACCGCCAAGAGGCCTTCTTTCCTCTTATATTAATCCTCCTCAGCACAGACCCTTCACGGGTGTCAGGCTGGGAGATGATCAGGTCTTTCCCTTCCCACGAGGCCATATTTCAGACTATCACATGTGGAGAAACCTTGGACAATACCTAGCTTTCCTAGGCAGAGGTCCCTGCGACTTGGCAGTGTACGTGTCCGGTACTTGAGATTAGAACAAAATGGTGAGGGCTTGGCGTGGTGGCTCAGCGCTGTAATTTCCGCCTTTTGGGAGGCCGGCCGGTGGATCGCGGGTCTCAAGGAGATCGAGACCATCCTGCTTAACACGGTGAAACCCCGTCTCTACTAAAAAATACAAAAATTAGCCGGCGTGGTGGCGGGTGCCTGTAGTCACAGCTACTCGGGAGGCTGAGGCAGGAGAATGCATGACCAGGAGGCAGAGGTTGCAGTGAGCCGAGATCAAGCCACTGCACTCCAGCCTGGGTGACAGAGCGAGATCCGTTAAAAAAAAAAAAAATTGGTAAGAAGATAGGGGTATGTCAGAGAAGAGAGAGGCTAATAGCTCAGAAAAGGGAGGGAAATATATTGAAAATCTTAGTGCAGGGCAAGAGTGTTTTAAACAAAAAAGTACTTGGTAAAGATGGAGATAAATTAGATACATGAAAACAAACTCATGGTATTTACTTAAGTGGTCTACAATCTGTATTACCTCTTCAGAGCCCCTTGGCTGCTTTCACTCATGCACTGATTGTGTTTCTTGGGAGAGGAAAAATAAAAATTGGCCTGACATAATTTGCTTATAGTCAAAAGTACAGGCTATTTCAAGACTACCAAGGAGCCAGCTCACATCAGCTACATGTCAACAATGGAAAATAATCATTCTGGAAAAAAGGCCCCACCAGCAGGGTGGCTCATGCTTGTTATCCCAGCACTTTGGAAGCTGAGGTGGGAGGATCACTTGAGCCCAAAAGTTTGAGACCAGCCTGGGCAACATAGCTAGACCCCCGTCACTACAAAAATTAAATAATTACCTGGGCGTGGTGGTGTGCACCTGTAGTCCCAGCTACTCAGAAGGCTGACCTAGAAGGATGTCTGAGCTGGGGAGGTTGAGGCTGCAGTGAGCCAAGGTCATTCCACCAAATTCCAGCTCCAGCCTGGACGACAGAGTGAGACCTTGTTTAAAAAAAAAAAAAAAATTTAAGGCAAAGAAGCAGGTCACTTCTCTTCCAATTACAAGATCCAAGACCTAGGCCCAGTCTCTGTCTTATGCCTGGTACCCCAGACTAGAAGTGCTGAGATGTGGAATCTCTCCCTTGGGCTAAATGAACACTCTCTGTTTTGAGACACAGGGTCTTGATCTGTGGCCGAGACTGGAGTGCCGTGGCATGTAGCCTCAAATTCCTGGGCTCAAGCGATCCTTGCATCACAACCTCTCCAATCACTGAGACCACAGGCGCGTGGTATCACACCCTGCTAAGTTTTTTATTTTTTTATTTTTTGTACAGACAGGGTCTTGCTGTGTTGCCAGGGCTGGTCTTGAACTCCTAGGCCCAAGTGATTCTCTTGTCTTGGCCTTCTAAAGTGCTGGGATTATAGGCATGAGCCACTGCTCCTGGCCAGGGCTTGGGAATTTCAGTAGGGGAAAGAGATGTGTTGGTCAATAAATGAGAAGCATTTCCGGTGTTTTCATAGTTCCCTAAGCAGGTGCGGCAGAACCTAAGGGAGGTGAATATTGCCAGATCTAGAAGACAGGAAAGAGGCTTCCTTCAGAGAGTGAGGCAGGAGGGCTGGGGAGCAGGCCAGGTCAGGAGGGGTTGCATCAGCCACCCCAAGGAGTCCAGACATTGTCCTGTGTGTGTGGGCACGGGTGGTGTGCTGGTTATTTTATTTATTTATTTTTTGAGACACAGTCTCACTCTGTTGCCCAGGCTGGAGTGCAGTGGCGCAGTCTCGGCTCACTAGAACTTCTGCCTCCTGGGTTTAAGCAATTCTCCTGCCTCCACCTCCTGAGTAGCTGGGATTACAGACGCGCGCCACCATGCCCAGCTAATTTTTTTATATTTTTAGTAGAGACGGGGTTTCACCGTGTTAGCCAGGATGATCTTGATCTCCTGACCTCGTGATCCACTCGCCTTGGCCTCCCAGCGTGCTGGGATTACAGGCGGGAGCCACCGCGCCGGGACTTGGTGTGCTGGTTATTAAGTGTGCTGGTTTGTCTCTCAGCTCAAAACCACCCACCCCTGCTCCGCAATTTGATGTTGAGGCTAAGTCTCTGCAGATGCGTTTGTCTCCCTTCGGCAGCTGACTCCTGCTAAAATCTAGCAGGAGTAGTGCGGGAAGGAGATGGTGGGGGAAGGAGCTGGAAGAGGGAGAAGGGACCAGCTCACCTGCTGTCCTTGTCGGCCTCCCTCCAGCTCTCCCCACACTCTGAGCCAGACTCCCTGTGCCCTGCAGAGGTCACAGCACCAGCCAGGAAGAACCCAAGGTCCCCCTCTGAGTCTACCATGGCAGCCACAGCAGTGCCCTGCACAGAGGTCCAGCTCCCAGCTCGGTGGCACTCCTCCTCCCAGCTTCCAGGTTCTGACAACCTCAACCTCTGCTCCTGTTTCCCCAACCCTAAAGTTGGTAGCTGCCTGTTTTGTGGTGAGCAGGTCTATGCAAACCTGCCCCCCAAATCCAAGGAAGCTGAGAGGCCCAAAAAGGAGGCTGACAGATTCAGTTTCTTAGATAGAAACATTTAATAGGGACTTACAAACAGAAGCCAGGTTTGTGTTTCCGGTGACTGCGAGTTGAGATGGTAGACCCTGCGCCATCATCCCCAGACCTAGGGTTTACACACCATTGGGAAAGGGTGTAGTTGCTTCAGAAGAGACGTGTAGGACAATTGAAATATGATAATATCACGGCTGTTTGACCTAAGGGCAGGATTTGTGGTAAAGTGCCTGCTCTTACACAAGGAACAACACATAAACTGGAAATCTTACAGGCTTCTGGGAACAGGAGTCAATCACAAGCCAACGTGGTAGATCAGCGTCTATGGTGGCTGCTTTGGCCTCCACACTGCCTCCTGCCTCAGTTTTCTGTTTTTGCTCTTTTACTTGCTTTCTCAATTTTTTTTTTCTTTTTTGTGAGACAGAGTCTCACTCTGTTGCCCAGGCTGGAGTGCAGTGGCACGATCTTGACTCTCTGCAACCTCTGTTTCCAGGTT